CTTTGAACTCTTCAAATCCATTGAAAAGAAAGGCTAGGGAATATAATTGATAAAATATAATGGGAACTTAATTGGTTATGAATATAGAATAACTAACTTTCACATTCCTAAACATTGCATTTTACTTGTACACTCTCTGTTTTTAATCAACATGGTTCTCTGTATAAGTTTTGGAGATACTGAAGGTTTGACCTACCTTTTGCTTTTCTACATCCTGGAGCACACAGATTTGTGTTAGCAAAAATGACTGCTCTTAAGTATACATTAGAACCCCAAATTATATGAAATGCTTTCATAAAAATGAGCCTTCCAGATAACAAAGCAATTTTCAGTTAAAAGTTTTGTTATAACATATGATGGTTGTTGACTCCAAATTGTACATACATGACTAGCAATTGTATGTGGTATGTGTACATGTACACAAAGCGCATTGTATTTTCTTACCTCCTGTCATAAAATATATATCAGAATATCCAGCTTTCCCCGTATGAGTGTCCTAATTTCACTAATCAACATTTATTGTATCAGTCATTCAATGTCTTCTATGTGCAAGGCACCTCCTAGACACTAGAAGCTCAACAGTGACCAAGACACACCTCTGCATAAGTCTAGGTCTCATCTCTAAGTGGAATGTACCTTTTGAAAAGTGGAGTAATGTCTTTTACAATTTTTAAATTTGGGGGTGGGTGGCATATGAAGAGATAGAGCAAAATTTTAAAAATGAGAAAGAACTCATGGATATGGACAAGCTGCGGGGTGGGAGGGGGTAGGTAGAGGTGCAAGAGAGTATGGGGGGTAAATGTTATGGGAAAAATACAACAAAATTAAAAACAAATTAAAAATAGTAAAAATATACTAAAATATTTCTCATGATTTACCACCACCACTACAGATCTCTCTCTACTAGCAGGTCCTAGTAGAGGTATATTCCCCATTGTTCTTATCAAACTTTTCTTTAGAAAACATGTCTGGCTTGTTTAGACTCAAGCTTTCTTTGAATAGTGACTTCTGTTGTGTCTCTGCCGATGCCTTTCCTTATGTTCCTATTCCACTCATCCTGCTTCTTGCTAGTAAAGTCCGAATTCAGTACTAATAACACGTTTAGGCTTTGTGTGATTCCAGTGCCAGAGGGGCAAAAGGTGAAGAGCAAATAAGCAAAGGGAGAAAACCGTTTTCAGCTTTCCGAGGTGTTAAGCGATTAAGCATTTCATGCTTCCACTTCTAGGATATCTATTTTTATGTTGCAGCCTTGACTCTTACCCTGTTTTTCATTCTTCATTCTATTAAAGATCATTCACTCAGTACATATTTAATGAGTTCTTACTATCTACTGGGCACTAGAGATACAAAGAGAGTAAGACGCAGTCTCTGCACTCAATGAGCTCCTAGTTTTAAAGAGACAAACTGTCAAATGACAGATATAGAGGCAGAGACTGAGTAATCAGGGTAAATTAGGAAGAAGGTGGGGCCTTGTTAAGAGTGTTTCATAGAAAGGAGAAGGTGAGCTGAGTAGAAAGGACTGAAGGCAGAGGGTAAGCAGAAAGGAAGGCGAGGAGGCAATGGAAAGCATCCCCTGCCTTCAAAATTCTGAACAAGGCTCTGCTGATGAAGCAAGAATGCACAGAAACAAAGATGGAGTCAGGCCACGGAAGGTCTGATGTGCCATGTCAAGAAGTTTGGGCTTTTTCTTGCAGGGGATCGAAGGTCATCCCCTTTGATCGTCCAACTTATTTTTTGGTATCTGTCAATATGGTAGCCATGAGGTGGGATGCAGTTGAGCCATTTGATATCAAAGGCAGGGGGAAAAGTTTAGCGTGTACGTCTGCAGCTCAGTTAAAGATGCTGAGACCCTGAATGATGGCATTTGAAAATATAAGGAAAACAATGCATCATAATTCACGACAGAATAATTGCAAGAAATGAGGAAATTGGAGTTATATCTGTAGATGGCTTTATGGGGGACAAATAAAAAGTGGAATATTTCCTACTAAAGATCAGAGTAAATTAAAGCATGGCAAGAAAAGATAACTAATATTGTACACATACTTAAGAAAATTTTATTGTTATCTAATAAATAAAATGTTAAAAATAAATAAAATTGTTTTCCAATAAATAAGATTTTAAACAATAAAATTTTATTGATTTTAAAAATAAAAATCAATAAATATTTATTTATTTTAAAATAAAATTTATTTTAAAATAAATAAATAAAAATTTATTTATTTTAAAATAAATTTTAAAATAAAATTTTAAACAATAAAATTTTATTGATTTTACATTATATGGAGAATTTCTAGCACAGAGGAATGCTTCCCATTTAAGCATGCAAATTCTTAGGGTTCTTTTTTTAGAGTTATTAATTTTTTAAATATTTTATTTATTTTTAGAGAGAGGAGATGGGAAGAAGAAAGAGAGGGAGGGAAACATCAGTGTGTGGTTGCCTCTTACACACCCCCAACTGGGGACCTGGCCTGCAACCCAGGCATGTGTTCAGACTAGGATTCAAACTGGTGACCCTTTGGTTTGAAGGCCAGCACTCGGTCCACTGAGCCACACCAGCTGGGGCTTAGAGATCACTTTTATGTTCATATTCTTCTATCAGCTTTCTGTATTCCCTCCTGGACATTTTATTCTGGAATCCTTACTTGCCCCTGCTTCTTTAAAATAAATCCTTAGTTTTACTGTATCCTCTTATGTTACGATCTATTTGAATTCCTGGTATTGTCTCTTGGGTTATCTCTGTCTCCACACCATGGCTCAACCACCCTCCTCTGATTCGCTCTAGGCCTTTGAGAATTGCACCTGGTGCCCCAGTCCTGGGACTGTGCCCCTCAATGAAGGGGGATTGGATTTAGTACAACTTCTGTAATCCCACAGAGATAAAGCAAAACATGGATAGATTTACAAACAAACAACATATTACTTTTTTGCAATACAATGAAGTTTGATTTATGTTTCCCAGAGCACAAAGATTTATATATTCCCATTTCATTGAGGATGTTCTAGAAAAAAATAAACTAATCATTAGCATAGCAGATATTTATTTCCTTTTATTGCCAAAACTCTTACCTTATATCTTAAGGCTTTTTTTTAAAAAGCATGAAAAATATAAATAACTTTTAGGGGATGCAGAAAATTAAGAATGGTTAAAAATGGTAAAGCCATTAGTTGGAATGAAAATATTTATTAAGTATTTATTACATAAAACATGTACTAGAAATTTCAAGAATAATTTAAAATAAATGGCCTTTGCTTTTAAGGAACTTTTAAGACAAAAGTAGAGAAAACAACTGTGAAAAAATAGTGATAACACAGACAGAATGGATAAGTAGCACCCTACATTTATGGACTCAGTGCACGGTTGTGGGAGGGCAGAGACGAGGATGATCAGATCCATATGGTATTTGTCTAGTTGGAAAAACCAAGAATGTATAAATAAAGAAGTATTACTCAACAGGATTTTGCTAACACACAAGACATTTCTGGAGAACATCTGATGCAAGGGTGAGAAATTATCACTGATTTTTTGCAGAAATGGCAAGTTGCACATTTGACCTGAGGCTACTTTGGAGCATGCAGGACATCAGGGAAAAGAAAACTGGAGATCAGACTGGGGTCAGGGTAATGAAGGGCTATGATACCAGCCTTCTGTGGGTTTACCTGACTTAATTTGTATTGTAAGGACTGAAAGTTTTGGAGCAGAGAAATGACCAGCTTGTACCCATAAAAGAGGATTAATGTGGCGTCGAGGAAGTTTTAAATGGTGAAGAGAACAGATCAAAGGCTGTAAGGTCATTAGCTCTAGAGCAGCTAGTCCCTGTGACAGGGATAAGGTTCAGGTGATGCTTCGGGGAGAGGAGGCAGGGGACCAGTGTAGATGTATCCCCTCAATGAGCTGATAGCATTTCTTGAATGACTGAATGTGCAGAGGAGAAAACATTTCAAAAAAGGACCAACCTCTGATATTCCAAATAGCTTGAGAGAATGACTCAAACCTCTACAGAGAAACCTCAAAAGACATGATAATTCACTGTTGAATGATGGCATTATTTTATTAAGTAACTTACCGTCTGCACAGGGCCAGGTGATAGCCTGTAGCTTTTAGGAAAATGGGGCTTTATGGCAAGAACTTGGAGCTCAGACTTACAGAACTGAAGTGTGCAATCAAATAAATAAAAGAATAAATTCGGGAAGGTAGAATGTAAAATAAATGGCTCAAGAATGATTCAGCGTTAAAGTCACCTCTGCCCCCAAAAAGATTCAGAATGTGACTTTAGTTAACAGTCTAAATGCTACCAACAAGGGCTCAAGGGCAAAAGTTTTGCTGACTAACAGGTCACTGATAGCTTTCAAGGAAACAATTATAGTGAAGAAGTGGGTATAAAACCACAATGCAATGCTTAGATCAGGGACCTTTTGAGAAGGTTGGTAGTGAAAGAAAGAAAAAAGAGCGGAAGCTGTGTAAGAAACATGAACAATGAAGAGAATGTTCTTTCAGCCTAGGGGTGGCCTGACCTCAGTGGGCAGGGGAGAAAGTTCTAGGGGAAAATGGAAGGAATCTGCATATCAAAGAATTGTTGTAATGAGGTCATAAGAAATGAGTTACCTGCAACACATTAGGCAACTCTGTGAGCAGACTCCAGGGGGTGGACAGAGACAGTGAACATGGAAGGACAGAGGAAATCAAAAAGATAGAAACATTTACGTAAGAACCCGATAAGACAGTGGAACACTGAACAGATATGGACAATCAGAATACAGAAAGGAAGTTTAGTAACTAGGGTACAGAAAGAAACAGCCGGAGAATCATAATTAAAATCATTTCCCAATATTTTTTAGCAATTAAAAACATGTATATGGGAAAACATAAAAAATAATAAGGGCAACAAAAGAGTGATATTCCTTTTGAGTGATGTTATAGCACAGACTTGAGGACGTCCCTTGAGAAGAGAAAAGGGATGATATCCCGCACTAAGGGGATTCAGGATGGTACAGCTTACCTCTCTCAGAGGGTCGTTGAGTTCACTGAGGATATTTTCCTCATCAAAGATTTTGCCTTGGTATCTGTGTTCATAGTAATCATGAATCTTCTGACGCATGTCCGCTGGCAACTTATGGAATGACATGTATTGTTCCACTTGCTTGTACTGTAAGGAAAGGAAAAAAGAAAATTAGAGACTATTGTTAAGGGGAATGAGAAGTCATCAGGTTACTTTGTGCTGTATTCAATGACACTTGAATAACAGTAACAAAAGGAGTAATTCTTTAAGGGGAAGGAGCTAAGGTGCCAGGTTGTAATGTTCCTAATCTGGGTCACACAGAATAGAAGGCATTTGTTTAGGTAATTGTTTCCAGTAATGAACTGAGATATTACGGCGAGAAGGCATGAGAGGAGTTCAGAGTGAATTTAAGGGTGTAGCCCCAGAAAAGCCTGTTATGGGCTAAAAACAAATAGCAAATATATATATAATTCATTTTTACCTGAGTTCCAAAGGAGACTGCTCTTTGGGTCTTTATCTGGAGAAAGAATCATGTAACTTTGGGTAACATGAAAGGTTTTATCTTAGACCCCGTAGGAAGAGATCAGACCTACTCGACTTTCGACATAGAGGCCAAGCACTTGGCGACCATTTGCAAGTCGCAGACACCCAGGAAGCACAATGCCTGCTGCGATAGGAGAGCATGTCCCGCTTCAGTGAGGATTCAGGAGGGGACGGGGTGAGACTGGGTCCACATACTTTCAGAGCGGAAACTTGACTGAGACACTGAAGTTCCTTTAACCAAGGAGCTCTTAAACTTGATTGTTTATAAAATTAGACGTGGGGTTGCCTTCTGGGAATGCACATGTTCAGGCTTAACCCCAGACACCAAGTCCTCGGACATATGTGCCATTGTGAACTTACACGCACACTCATAGACACCCACAGAGACAGTATTGGTTTGAAAAATAGCAGGATGACAGCTAGTGGTGGGGGAGGGTATTGGTGGTAGAGGGGTTGAGCAAAAAAGAGAAAGAACTCATGGACACGGACAACAGTGTGGTGATTACTGGGGGGAGAGGGTGTAAGTGGACTAAAAGGGTAATTTAATAAAATACAACACAGAGTAAATATATTAAATACAGATAAAGTAAAAATACAGTAGAGATTAAAAAGAAGTAACCTCTGTTCTACTCAAGTGGGAATGCAGAAGTACAAATGTCACGTGGGGGCTCATGAGGAGAGAACGTCGGGCTCCATCCAGACCCCTGGGGTCGGAACCTGCCCCTCAGAAGGGCATCCACGTGACTCATCGCACGTGAGGCTGAGAACTGTTCCTTTAGTGTTTCAGAAACACTAGTGATCGACGCTAGTGATCCCGACACCACACTTGGAAAAAATTAGTTAAAACCCTCAAAGTTAGTTATGTTGCACAGATAATAACACTGAGTACAAATAAAATAGTAAGTAACAAAACCAGGTAAAGATCCTGGAATAAGATTCTTTCCTTAAACAAAATGTATTTCATGTGTTATCTAGGGAAACTTTTTTCTCAAATCTTCCTAATAACAGAGTTCTGACTGGAATATGTAGGCCTTCTGACTCCTCATTCATACTTATTGTGATTATAATTATAATTGATAACAGACATATTCATGAGAAACAGCAACCCACTGAATCATATTTCTTCAACTTTCCCTACATATAGTTTCCTTACATATAACATTCATATTGTTTGGATATTCCCTTTGAGAGAACTATCAACTACTATCAACTAATGAAATACTACTAATTAGCAATAATCAACTAATTAATATCAACTACTACTGATTAGTAATAATCAACCAATTGCCATCAACTAATGATATACAACTTTGTCATGACATTTCCTTTATTTGGTCACCACATTATTCCCCTAAAGTATTTAAAGCCTGTAGATTTCTCTCTCTCTCTCTCTCTCTCTCTATATATATATATATATATATATATGTGTGTGTGTGTGTGTGTGTGTGTGTGTATATATACATCAGTAGTATCTGAAGCAACCTATTTTCCGAAGAACTTTGAATCAATGAGCCACCTAACATCTATAGCTTGCTAGCTCACTTCTGGGGACCTGGATTCAGTCTGCTTGGCCCCTAGAAGCTTCTGGAGCCTTCTCTACACACCACTCTGTAGGATAAAGGTCATTTGCAGCTGCTCTGGAACAGCTCTATTTTTGTTTCTAGAGACACATCTGTATCTAATTTTTACCCTTAGCCCCAAAGAGGGCAGTGGAATGATTGATGTACTGTTTAGGATCTGAAACTCCACTGGGGACATGTAAGGTTAACTTCTGCACTAAGGACTTACAACTAGCCTCTTTGGTTTGACTAGTTTGGCTTGACTAGATAAAGAGCTATGAAAAGCATTGTTGGTGAGCTCTCCCCAGATGAAGGCTCACTGCACAGATCTTGGTGGGTGAAGTCCAAGAACTGGTGGGGCAAGGCAGAGACACTGCACGTTCCAGGTGCTGCAAGATGGAGCCCCTGAAAAGCTCGAGCTGGGGAAAGGCCCTCAGCCTCTCACACGTGTGTGTCTCTTTCTCTGTTGCACACATGGTTCCTTTGACTTTAAACAAAAGCCACACATCAGGGTATAGCCTGCCGTCTGGTGAGTCCTGCCAAATACTTGAACTTGGGAGAATAATAAAACCACATCAGATGATAAGACCACTACAGTTTGGATGCTGGCTGTAGTGATGAGACATCCTTTCAGTTCTAGCCGAATAAAGGATGCATTTCTTCTGTACCAGTAGGTGCCAAGCAGTCTCTGCTTGCTTTTCTCAAAGAGCTTTCTGCCCAAACATTGCTTGGAGCAGTGAGAAATTTTAACCTGACCCAGAACATTGAACTCTAGATTCTCAGTTCTTTGTGTGCATCTTAGGGTTATGGGAGGCAGCATTAAAATTCAGCCAGATGTTGGTCATTGGGGAGAGACCTGTGCCTATGTGCAAAGGCCTACTCATCTAAAACGATCTGCTCTGTCTGTCTCTGTAGTTAGAAAACCAGGCCTTAGTTAGCTAAACACAAATATTACACATAAAACTATTTTATTTTTAAGGAAAGTTGGGATTGGTTGAATCCAGTTCTTTTTCCTTACAAAATTGGTTTTGTTCTTTTAGACTTCAGCTTACTAATCTACCACAGAAGGGTATTAGGCCCAATGATCTCTCTTGTTCCTTCAGAACATATTTCTATGAATATTTTTTTGTCATTTACTCATACTGACTCAAGTTTGATTTTTGAGTCTACATTACACATTTTAAACATTCATTGACTTACAGCAATCATTGATCTAGCAAGTACTAATTGACTGCTGTGTGCTAATGGCTCCCAGGGTGTGGTTGCCAAATACCAGCATCACCAGGGGATCTGTTAGAAATGCATACCAGGCTTCACCCCGGACCTACTGAATTAGAAACTCTGAATCACAAATGCTAAGCAGTCTGCGTTGTAACATTCTCTGGAGACACTAAAATATCAGAGCCACTTCTATATGCTAAGTACTGTGTTATCTTAGGACATAAGGAAGCACTGGGAATGAGAGTGGGGGAAAGAAAGAAAATCCAGTTTGATAAGTCAGGGTGAAGACGACCACACACATTCTCATGCTTATCTGTAGGTCAGGCTCTCTGGAGAGAAAATACACACATAGTCAATGACTCGGGGGAAGTGCAGAAGTAGAACTTGTATTTTAAAAGCAGTTGAATCATGGAGGGTGATCAAGTTAAGGGAACTGACATTTGGCAGCAAGATGTGAGAGCAGAACCAGAAAAAAATGATTAGCATCAGCCAAAGAAGGACAAAGTTTCTAAGAAAAGGGGTACTGGACCTCAGCCAGTGAATGTGGAAATGATATACAACGATTGTCGTTAGGATGAAAAGAACTGTCTTCCAGTCCCAAGGCCTCACTTGCACACTGAAGATTACTGGAAGGTGGGAGTCAGAAGTTACACTTCTCATTTTATTATGGGAGCAAATTACATAAAAGTAAAAATTAGCAAGTGAAATCCAATGGGCCACTGAAAACAGTTTATGCCATCTAAATGTCCTCGTCTCCCCCCCCCCACGGTTTCTCTCACGCACTGGGGTGGCCTGACATCCATGCGAGGCTTACCTAACAGTGCACAAGAAATAGAAGCTTTCGCACAAGACCATCTATTAACTCACTTTGAGAGACACCTATTTTTTCTTCTTTCTGCTCTTGTAACAATTGAAACATTGTCTTTTCACACTTTCAAAGTATATTTGAGTATCTTATCACTGTTCCCCAGGAACATTATCCCTATAGGCTCCAGTATCTATCCTATAACTTCAGCTTTCTCTTCTATGTATTGGTTCTAGGCAAATAGCTTTTAAACATGCCGTTCATTTAAAACGATTAAAAATAATACTAATTGAATATTACAAACTTTTTTCCAGGCGCCCCGCTAAACAGTTTACTGATATTTGCTTTGCTGCCATTTTCTTCACCTCACAGATGATGAAATTGAGGTGCAGAGAATTTAAATAACGTGTATAAAGTCACACAGCTAATTAGATCCGAAGTCAGGATTTGAACCTGGGTCATCTGGATCCAGTTTGTGCTCTTCTTCACTTACTGATATTCCTAAAAAAAAAAAAAAAATGGCTCTCGGTTGAGCACAAGCAGCCCTCCATCTACTGCCCAAGTTTTTCCCTTTCCTTTCTCAACCAATCTCTTGACAGAGTGGTCTACACTTACTGTCTCACTGTCTACTGCTCATTAAAACTTTCAATATTGGACTACAGCTTCCATTCCTTCTGCTTCTCTAGTAATTCCTTAGGTTTCAATGATCTGCCAATGATCGCCATGGTAATCAGATACTTTGCAAAGATGCTGTTATTTGGTATCTGAACAACACTGAACACTAGTAGCTGATGCCCCATGACACTCCCCCATTCTCATGGCTATCCCACCTCTGACCTCAGCTACACCTCTGTTGGATAGTCCACCTCGGGGTCTCTGCCTAAGAACTAAGAAACTTAGAAAACTTGCTCAGTTCACCATAGAGTTGCATGGATGTTTAGGGATGGGGCAAGAATAGGTAATACTACTCACATAACATTAAACAATGAGGGACTCGAGTCTATAGATTCATGTCATAG